TGGAGGGAAATCAAAGATAGTGGGTCATGTCTCCTGACTGCCGTTTGGTGTTCACGGATCCTTGTGGACAGTTTTTTCCAAGTTTGTCCGATATGGTGCTTTGAGCAGTTCTTGCAATTTGCAATCAACAGGCACATCGAACTGGATTACGTGTACACGTCAGTGCAACCCAAGGATCAACTGACGCAACAAAAATGGGGAACGGCGTGACCTGAGAACGGACCGAAACCGCAATCAGGACGGATGGACAGCCACCTCCCCTACCAACCTCGCCCCACGCACCAGTTTTACGGCGAATCCAGTCGAACACAATGAGAACAAGGGACAACAATGGTCGGTGGAGAAGAACACATATATGAACGAACGGACACAAGCAGAAGACTGCCACTTCACAAGCACTGACGATGTCACCTCGGCTGGTGATGAAACGTTTGCAAACAAATTGCCAAGCTCGGCGAACAGGCGAAGTAGAATTCAGTTCACCCGAGCTACGAGAACCGCTTTTCAATACTTTGTCAACCGAAGTCTGTCGTGGAAATCATGGATCTTAGCCTTTCTAGGTTCTCTGATGAACAATTTCTTTGACTCACTATCTTGGAAGGCCTTCTTAAAAATGTGTATCGGTTATTTTTGCGGTATACAGTGGGACATACTGTTAAGATGCAATTATCTGAGCTGCCCAGAGGAGCACGTTGATGGACTTCAAAAAGTTTCAGTCTGTTTGTATAAGCGAAATCAAGTTATGAATTGAGTCTAGTTTTCATCGTGCCGCATACAAAAGAGATCTGATGAAAACTCTGTCCCATCGTGCAAAGAATATATGCTCCTCCGACACGTCTCAAGAAGAGGCCTTTTTACGAAAGACGCTACGGAGTGATGGTTATCCAAAAGAATCATGGATTCACATAGCAGATAAAAGGCCAGAAGTTGATCCCTCCCTCCTACGAGGTACCAAAGAGATGAGTCTTCTTCAGAATGACCTTCAAGGGTGATCAATTAATAAAAGGCGTTCGGCAGAAGCTCAAGGCGGCCTTGTATCGAACATTTCCTGCAGCAAAAGTTCGACTGATACCGTATACCCAAGGAATTAGTCTGACCAACGGAAACCAGAGCCAGTCGCCCAGTTCTTCTTCCATGTCGTCTATCAGTTCACCTTCAGTTGCGGTGACACATCGGCAGAGCTAATCGGTTCCCATCAAAACGGATATCTGAATACATCACCGAATGGTTTCCGTAATCAGTGATGCAGCACGAGTTCAAAGGTCAGTCTGAGAGAGAAAAAACCCAGGGCCAAAAATCGCAAAACATGTTACGACAACTGAACAGATTGCTGACACTTTTGTGGTTCGGGCCGTTGTTACATTACACGAATCGCAGGTTATTAGCTTATAACGAAGCGATCGTAATCCAGTTACGTAATCCAATTTTGTGTGCACAAATGTTTCTGACATTGGGGCCGATTCTAAAACTGATCACTTCGCCTCAGATAGTTGTCCGTTAAACCACGGTACTTATTAAAACTTGTCTGTCTGGATGCCCGATTGTTTTTGGCTCTAACGACTTAGGAAATTAGGATAGCTGTAGTGCATCAATTTCATTTTTATTTCCTCTTATTGAATACGTAATAATACAACTTTCAGGGGGGGGGGTTGTCCAATCAAAGGGATATGGTACATGAACACACAATGGGGAAAGTCGGGCTGTGGTGGTGTGATTGGAACACACCCACCCCCAGGGTAACGTTACCACCGGGTCAACTCAGTGTGTGTAATTTCTCTGTTCTAACCTATGTTCTAATCCGTTTATCGCAAGAATGAAGATAATGAATTGAATGTTGCAGGGAAGAAAATTGGTTTGCTGTTGTATTGAATTTTACCCTGAGCAGTTTCATCCATGAAATACTGATAGTCAAGCACCTGCGAATTTAGGCAAAATATTGAATAACTGTATTTAGGTAAGGCTATGAAACCTCCCTGTGCAGAAGTTCTTTTTCGAACTATACAGTAATGCATACTACCATTAGGTTGTTTCAGGGACTCTGACAATGAACCTTCAACTTGGAGGTAGAGTATATTTCAATAATGAAACCATGGCCCAAAATTGTTGATCACTGACGGTTTCACTCTCGACCCGAAAGTTTCCGATTCGAGTCTCAGACGGTTCGCATTGCTGATGAGTCCTAAACAAGAACAAAAAACTCATCTAATAATTATAGTCGTTTCTCACTACAGTTCGATTTTAGTCACATTTAAAATGCACATCCACGTGTGTATTCAGTAGCTCTCCCAGTTGAAGAAGTCCAAATCTGTGTTGAGGGACAATTCTATTCCCAAGGATCGATGGGATCGCATAATTCGTCCATTTCTTGAACGCAACAAAGTATAATTATTCATGAAAAAAGGGACCACGATAAACAGGTCGATCATCGTTAGATTGTTCCACATGTCAGGCAATCGGCGCTATTCAACTAAGAAGTAAGAGGAGGAAAACCGCTCTATAAACCAAAGATATGAACCACACGTGTTTACATCAATTCGATAAGATCGAATGACAGTAGAACTTTCACGAAAAAAGTGCAGTAATCTTCCCCAAATGCATACATAGTCAATCAGAAGCAGATGTTTGACAGAATAAACTGTGAAAAACCAAAGCAGGTAAAACAGCAGTGCGACCGGACTGTGTGGAGGTTATATTGGGGGATAGCATGTAGAGTGAATTTTGAATTTAGTGCAGTGCGTGAACAGCGCAAGTGAAATTCCATGTTGCACATGTTTCGTGTAGATGGTACACGTGGTGAGGATACATCTGTTGGTGTTGGGGTAGGAGATACATAATCGGAGTCTACATAAGCAGCTGTCGATGATCATTGTTTACTGTGTCCGGCTTGTGACTGCGATCAATAATTAACACCTGCTTTTACGTGAAGTAACTCTTAAGCGGTCGGAATAAGACGATTGTAGCGGACGCTCAAAGGCATTGATTGATAGGAAACAAAAATACGCAAATAAGCGTTTTAATATTTGAAACCGGGGTAGTTGTGCGATCATGGACTTATGGAGATCATTGTGAGGATCCACGCTTGTAAGCGCAGTTACCAATTGAAAATGCTCGGTCGAGACCACAAACGAAGTTACCGGACAAATGAAGCATAGTGCCAAAGATCGGTATGGCCGTTTCGACTCGGTCGTCCCTGTGCAGAGTAGTTCATATATACAACATGGCGAGGTGAAAGATATTTGTACACTTGATGCCAGAGAGATGAGAAATGAGTGGAAACATCCATTACCGATGGAACCCAGATCCCGGAACAAATTTGTTAGGTCGTTCTGCGGGGACGGGGAAATTACCTTACAGGAAGAGATCAAAATCACATTTGACTTTTCATGATGCTGCTGAAGGGAACATCAAAAAGGAGAAAAGTTTCCCACTGGACATGTTTGTGATTGGTATCACCATAGGCCAACGTGTAAAAAGGTTAACGTACGTGATGAGGAAGGTTAAGCCATCCTACGGCGGTGAGGATCTCGAAATGTTAAGGTGGAACTGTACAGATCGAGCGCTGATACAGAATACCAAAAGTAAAGCCACACAGGATTTGAGACATGGTAAGTCAGCAGTGAATTTGATGATCGCTCAGATAGCAGAGTGAAACATCCGGTGAGCATTAGGGCAGCTTCTGGAGGACAGCTGAAGACCACAAATGGGCATGACTGGCCGGTGCTATTGCTGAAAGTGACGTGGAATTCATCAGCGACGTGATGGACTCCTCGTATTATGAGGCAAGATCAACTTCAACAGTGAACGCAACCCGGGTTGTCCTATTTTGCCCTTCCAGTTCCATTACGGATGAACCAAATACGATTGGTTATGTTGGCTATTGAATTGCCAAATTAACCGAGTATCCGAGATAAATAAGGAGGTGAAATCATAAAGACCGATACCTCTGGGCGAACAGCGGCTACATTGCGCTGAAAGTGTACAAATGAAAAGCTTGTTATCAATTTGTTCGACAAAACACACAAATTTCAGAATGTATAGGAAACGTTTAAGCTCCGGATACATGGCCACCAACTCTCCATCATGCATGACATATCATGTTCTGGTCTGTTGCAGCTTCTTCGAGAAGAAACAGAAGGATGGAGCTTGTTCGTTCGTTAGAACTCCACACGAATACCGGTTGTAATCATCTGTTTGCATATTGAGAGTAATGCAAGGGTAGTTATTCAAACGTGGTAGGGTAGGCCCTTTTACAAAGGATAATGCAACCGTCCAGGATGTTGCCGTACCCTCAGGAGTTATCCAGGGATTAGGGGACCATTTTTGTATTTCATTCAGTAAAATGAACCACTACGGGCTATACATAATGACATCTTGACAGTTTTGAACTATACTCAATGATTTTCAGACGCTTTTAGAGAGAGAGGTCTGGGGAATATGTAGACGGGTTGCACTGATTTTGTCGTGCAAAGAATGAACACTGCTGGCGTTAAAGCGGTTGTTCAAACTTTTCATGGAGGAAGTACCAAGAATGTATTTTCCGGAACTAAGGAACACACTATAGTCGAATGAAAGAGTCAAACAATTTCATTAAATGAACTAAAATATGTACCTCACTGAGTCGATGGGGTACCTAGCCTGCGAAAACCTTTCTGAGGCCAGGCTTCTCATGGAGGATAGCACGCATTGATTACGATGAGATCCCGGTGGCTTTCACAGCTGTGCTACTCTCACCCGCGCATCGTCCTCCAAGGTAGCTTGCACAACAGCAATTTTGTCTGCTGTGGTGATCTCCACAGATGTACAACACCGTGTCTCATCAACCAGGGACCACCTGCCACGCTTGAATTCCTCAACTCACTCAAACTCAGTACTTCTCAAAGTTTGAAGGAACGTCGACTACGACTGGCTGTGACGCGCTTCAGAACGGGAATCCCGAGCTCGCAAAACAAGCAAGGTACCGCTGGTTAAACCAGAAGACTTATGGTTGTTGTAGACGTTTATTGAGGTACCGTGGCACAGAGAAAGTACCAGTACCCGCTAACAAGGGTTTGCTTTACAGCACGGAGGTACGAGAACAAACGAGCACGATAACGAGCAAAGCGGAGCGAAAGCGAAAAGTGAAAGTTCCCTTCGTGGAAAGATGCAGCAGTTTTCGATCGTATAAAACACAAGTTACATGGCGTTGGTACTGAAGTGAAAATGTGAACAAACGTTTAGATTGTAGAGGAAAAATGATGTCCAGCAAAAGTCTGAAATGGTCCGATTTTCACCGTACCATTGGGCACTCTACAAGTTGCGCCATTGCCGAAGGTATCTAGCGAACGATAAGCACTCTGCTGCTGATTTAAATCACTTTTCAGTCGTATAAAATCATCGCCCCCAAGGGACACCGACTGAACTCCATCTTAATAGTCCGAGCGTAGTGACCCTCGTATGACTTTTGAGCTGTGGTCGACTGTGTTGATATTTGGTTCTGTTAGTTGCAATCACTGAACAATATTCACAATAGATTGCGGTTCATGATTTTCTTTCCGGTTATCTGTAGCTCATCCTAGGTATTCAAAAGCGTTTTGCTCAGTCCTCACAATCTCTGGTCACTTCTGTGAAGGCAACAAAGACCTCATCACTGAATTCAACCCTTGGAACAACGGGTTCACAAGACGATGGAAGATTTGGGTGTCATTCCGTAAGCCTAAAGGCATGCGGAGAAATGCTTAGAAATCAAAAGGTATTTTGACAGCGGTTTCAGGTAGATGCCCGGGGGTTACTGGGATATGATGGTTAGGCTCCAAAAGCTTAAATAGTACTCATTGGTTAAGCAAACTGTGGACTAATCACGAATCTGTGGAGTGATCGTAAATCAGCTCTTTTTGTGGCCATTGGCAGTCATCACAATCAATTACTGGGCTTTTCCCAGGGTGCTGATTTTGGAAATTCAGGACGGTAGTCACTTGCAGCCATCTCTTACTCATTACCGGTAATATCAGCAAAGTCTAATCTTCCTCGTGGCTGGGGTATGCTTGCACATCTATATGAGACTTTAGCTGAGAAGCGCGATTGGTCACACTTTCAGTAGCATCACAGATGTGAGCAGCCACCCCACTGGGCACACGTGTTCTGCGTGATCAGTGAGTAGTTTTGAAGTTTAATCCTTTTATCCCGGCAGCCCCCGAGCATCTAAACAGAAAAGCTATCAAAATACCCTTCCATCTTCAAGCATTTCTTCGCATGCATTCTGATTTGCAGAATGACGCTCAAACTTTCTATCGTCTCATTAACCGGTTGTTACAAGGATTAAATCTTAGCCTCTTGAGTGCACGTACATCAGCAGTTCCGAAACCCCACAGTGAGAATATCCAAATAATAATCCAATAATATCCAAAGAAAGTCAAGTCAAAGTATCACTTTCATTATTGGGGATATAATAATGAACTAAAACTCACAGACCACCAAGATAGGTTGTCAGGTTTTTGGAGCCCAGTATTGGTGAAACCTAGAATCTGACTTGGGTCATTTAGACTGACTATTTGTGGGTCTGCGAGGGATTGATGCACCGTCACTAATGATGTCTTCAGTTTCAGCTGCGACACCATCATTCCGATCGGTTCGTCGAAGTCCTGCGCCCTTTCTCTGAACATGACAATTGGCATCATTTTGTGACACTGTCATGTCCATGCAAATGTGTCGAAATGCAACTTTACCCAGTCTCGGCAGTGCGTAGTTAACAAGTGAGATTATGATTCTTACTTGCGTTAGTATTGTTGCTCACAATCTGGGATTTCAGTGTACTCCCGTGATCGACATGTCGAAGTAAGCAAAACCATCGACTGAAACTATCTATCTACTACATTATCTATAATGTATATTAAACTTTTTATCGACCTTTGTATGTACTTAGTGACAGAAACACAACTAAAATCAAAAATTCCTTGGAAGTGTAGTTGAAAAATTCCAGACGACTGTTACGAATGCATTTCTATCAGATGAACAATTCCATTGTTTGAAGACAAGAAACCATAAGGTTCCGGGTTCGATCCCTAGTTGGGTAGATGAATTCACAGTGCTGACGGAACTTAATCAGAAAAAAGCGGACGTTGTAAAACAATGAGAAGCCTATGGTACTTTTATTTTGATATGAATATTTCGTTGTCTTTAAACCTCAAACCGATACTAAATTAATGCATCCTGGATTTCTGTAATGAAAATCTGTTCGACAAGACAATGGATAACACTAGTACTACTGCGTACGTAGGTATCAATGTACGTTTCCTACAACACTGTGTTAAACTTCAGTAACTCCATTCTTTGCACTCAACCACCATTGAGTGGTGGTGGTGCAGTGGTTTAGTCGCTGTCATAGACGTGCTTTGGACCCCATGGTCCGAGATTCGAGCCCCGGCCATCGCCACCTGATTTTGATGGTAGACAGCTCTGCTGTCATCTTTTCTTTTCCATTTTTACTTCCTTTTATTGAATAGACAAAGATACAATTTTCAGGAAGGGGGAAGCGGTCAATCAAAGGGCTGCCATACAACACACAGAGAGAGAATGGGGAAAGTCAGGCGGTGGTGGTGAGATTCGAACACACATCCCCGAGGTGATAATTTGATGATGTTATCACCGGGCCACCACTGCCCGGTTCAATACCACGCCCAACCTATCAGGTCTTTATGTGGTTCGCCACCCCAAATCCTGAGGCTTAGGTTACGGGTTTCCATCACTGAACAGTAGGTCCTCGTGACTATAGTACTAACCCCGTCTGCTGTTCGTCACACTTAGGTGTGTAATAAAAAGGAACCATGTAATGTCAGACCGCAACGAAATAACGGATGTGCTTAAACTGAATTTTGCTGGCTATCACAGCTGTTTCCGTTGCCTAGGAAACTAAACAACGAGTCAAAAATTGTGGAACGGAATCAAATCTTTATAAAACAAAATAGATTACTGATGATACCGAAGAAAATTAAAAACAGATATAGCATTGCACTTCTCAGCTTCTTCTTATGTGATTTCATTTGCACTGTTTACGATCGCAATCGGTCGTTAAATGTTAGTGGATTTTTCTCCTCCAAGTCATGCAATCACCACCCAAATGGGGGAATACGATTGCCGAGTAAATATTTGATTAATCCATACTTGATAATGAATTTGAAGTGGTCGATGAATGACTTTAAAATAAAGCAAGATAATTATTTTTCAACTCTTCAATCATCAAGCGAAAGGTTAGTTACAGAACAAATTTACAATGGCTAAGCGAGATTCAATTGATTTATCAAACTGGTTTAGAACGCGATGCGATGTTATAGACTCCACAAAGGTACTCCACAGTAGTCCACTGTTTTTGTCATCCTGAGAATTTTCAGTTGTCTCAACCTTAATGTGTTCAATGATCGACGTTGGTCACGTCAATTACTAACGTGACCTATCGATTGATCGCTTAGGAGAATCATCCGCTCTATAGAGGCACGCGGCATCATCATGCCGCCTTATCTGACCTTATCTGAACAGCGCTTGCAAACCGTGTATGTATGATGCAATGCATTAGTAGACGTCTATACATCCAATTGCATAGAGTGAAATACCGATCCTACCGATTTCTTTTGTTCTGCTCTACCACAGGTGAAGTGACTTGGAATTTACCTGTCACCGTGCAAAGTTTATGCAACGTGGACGTGCTCTATTTTCCATTCGATCACCAAATCTGTGACATACGAATGGGTTCGTGGATCTACGATAAATCCCAGTTCGAACTTCGTCTAGCCAATCAGACCGATCCGAGTATTATGCTGAATGGAATTATGGAGAATGTGGAACTTGGCATCCCGGAGGCCAAATTCTTTGTCCATGATCGAATCACGGTAGATGGAATGAAATTCTCTCAGGTGAGTGCATTTCTATATTGATCAATAATTTGTGTGCGACGGGAACCGAGAAATCCTCAGACTAGTCATGAGGACGCTCGTGTTGACTTCAATCCGTGATGAATTTCAAAATAGCCGTGATCTCGTTCTCAAATCATTTCAACAACAGCATTATAAGACACCCCTCACTATTTCCTGATAAGAAGCAAGTAACAGTATCAATTTTGTGTTCTCTTGAGTCTTATTTGGTATCTGCACTAGCCTGTTTTCTGGAAAGTTTGCATCTGAAAACAGTATCATTGTCACTGGGATACATTACGTTTATCAGGTGCTTCAAACTTTTTTGAGAACAATTCGGTGCTTTACAACGAGGCCTAGTTCATTCTGTTCAATGGTATATTCACCTGGTAGTTCTGGCTCTCTTCAATGTCTCTGCCGGACTCCCACTTGAGTGGCTGCAGTTAGCATCCCTCACAGACGTTTCCTTATTGGACGATTTGACTTGGGGGAAAATGAGCCAAAATGAAATCGAAATAGCAGGGTTAGAAAGTATATTGCGATAAGAACACATCCAGAGTTTAGTATTTTGTCAACAAAGGTCTAATAAGTGGGGTTCAAGGACAACCATATGCATTACTGAATTAGGAATTTATACTCAGAAAACTGTATTTTTGATAAGGACATGTAAATTGAAATGCTAGTTGATAATTATCGTACAATGCGCAGCACCTTTTTAATTTTCTTAACAGGCTTTCAGCGACATTGGTTTTTGATTAAGATATCTCTTTCCATTTCTGATTTGCTGACCTAATGGTAATTACTATTGGACTATTTAGCACATAAATGGTACCGTCTGCCTCTATACTGCTGACAAACCAGACAAAACTGTCTGGGCTTGTCCACTCGGCTGATGTCTCTGTTAAGCCGCAAAAAATATTACTTTTGAAGGGTTATAAATGTATCCCAGTTCTGACAAGTAAGAATGGGCTCATAATCCATCCGGTTTGAGAAGACATCATGCGTCCACTAGAAAGCAAGGTTTTAGATAATCCAATGGTCCCAATGGTAAACCGTTAGCATCAGGTGCAACGAAACTACAATCGTAAAATATTTCAATTGAGCGATTACCATGTTCAGATATTTTTTCATATGAGTCTGCTCTGCTTGAAAGTCATAATCATACTAAACTCAAATTCACATTATCCAAACATTTTCGGTCTAACCAGATGCTCACAAATGGTCGCGCGCAAACTTTTGTCATCCGTACTTTTCACGAAATATTTTGTTGTTGTTGTTGTTGCTTTTTAAAGCAAATCAATGCACCTATCGGTATATTGTATATGGTAATGTGATATGCAGTTTAGGGAATAACTAACTTATTGACTTGTCTGATGTTTTTGGTTACTGTTTAGTACTCCTGAAAAGTTAGAGCAGAAATCGTTCCGGAATCGAATCATGCTCCAAACCAGGCTTGCGTGCTTCCAGAAAAGAAGAGCAACTAAAATGATATTATGCGTCGGATGAATTTGTTACATCTCAACCAATGATCCCGGAAGTTAGTCGCGTCAAATGCAGTTTTTGGGTGACCGAAGCAATCGCTAAAAAATGAAAAAGTTCTCCTTGTTGACAGGGCCAAATTATATTGGTTCGACAAATTTCAAGATTCACTTTATCTGGTGCTACGCGGATAACTTTTAACGTCGTTTTGCGGTATTGTGTCATTGATACGTTTCAAGCAATTGGTGGCATCTAGGCCCGTATGAGCAAGATTATTTTTACTTTCTACTTTCTGTTATTAAATACATAATTATAGAATTTTCAGGAGTAGAGAAATGTTCAATCAAGAGACCTCCACAGAAAATTGGGTAATTTAGACGGTGATGGTATTGGTTGGGATTTGGGCACACCCACCGCAACGCGATAGATTGGTGACCTTGATCGCGTGACCACCACCGATTATTGTTGCGACGGTCAAAATGTGAATGGGTTTATGCAGTGGAGCACTGTACGTTTCTCTGTGTTGCCAGCAGGAAATCTCAATGAAAGAACGCCTGTATTCGCAGTGAAGCACCAACCGAGATAGAAAATTTTCTAGCATCTCCATCCTGCATTATAAAGATTTTAATTGTCTTTTGTTAATCGTGTCATTTCACACAGTAGAATGTTAACACCGTACTATTCTTCGAAAGGATATCAACTGATATTAAACAAAAATATGTGCCACAATTCTTCACTATCGGCTGTTGTATAAGCCCTGCGAACCCAAGCAATGTGTTATGCTCATTCTGCTGATTTATGAGTCACCTGAGTTAGGTGAACATCATAACACACCTATGTACATGATCAACCGGTTTAGGCAATGGCTACAGAGACCAAAGATTGTGCAACAAAATCACATAAGAGTCATTCATATTCCCAATTTGCGCACATCTCCCGGCTGCCTTCCACAGTCCGAATTCCCACTTCAGAAAATCGACCAATTAATTGTATATTCAATAAATAAGAATGGGCTGAAATATATTGCTATTTATTATTTGCATTGTTGAATCTCCACAAGGATTAAGTAAAGGACTTGATTTCTGCCCACCATGAATTACGTCAAGGTAACAATAATATTGTTATTAATCTTGGTGGATTCCATACTATCGTTAAAATAATCCATATTTTTTTTTCAAAATCCACAGGTCACACTTCGTATTCATATCAAACGACGTGCCCTGTTCTACGGTTACACTGTTATTGCTCCCAGCATACTACTATGCGTATTAACCATGTTCAGCTTTTGGTTACCCAGCGGGAACGCGAAAAAAATTGACATTGGTTTGACGGTATTCTTATTCCTGTATTTCTTACAAGTGAGTTTTGCCTATGTTCTTTTTTGATTTTCTGACCATCCTCATATTCATGATGTAAGGAATTGCTTCTCATACTGAGTTTGACCAAGTGTTCAAAGTAGCTTGTTTCCCTAATTTCAAGAGAGGTTTGTGGCGGGTCTCCACGATTGGGTTTAAGTTTCATAATGTTCTTTGTTTATTTGACAGGTAGAGTGCAGAAAGAGAAGTTTGCAAAACTATTGATCAACCTATTTACGGCCACAGACCTGAAACACGCGTTTCGATTGATCAAAGTAAGGATTAGGAACAGTGTGGTGTTTGGTTGACGACGTTTCTCCACTCCTTTCGGATCTAATACATGAAAAATATTCCGGCCGTTTCAGGGTTGACTGAACTGGAACCAAGCAATTGTTAACAACCAGTTCCCATGGGGTTCGGTACCGTGCGAAACGGCAAAATATTCCGATCGTATAAACATATAATATAACAGCCGAAATATGCAAAGGCGCACGAACACGTAGTTCTGGATGTAATGAAATCAGTTCAATTCAGTTCAGTTCATTTTGAACATCCATGAACCATACACTTTTGTGCGCCAGTTTTGGTTGCTATCTTTTGACTTCCCAATTGAATGAACATCAGGAGAAGGACAAGAAAGTGTAAAGTAGAATCGAATAGAAAATGGAGAAGTAAACTGGACTAATATAGCAAAGAAATTGAGAAGATGCGCAAACGTCACTGTTTACGACACTCAGTCATATCACTCAGTGTCTCTAACCATCGGTTACGATCATCCCGCGGTCCCCAACCATGGGACCTAACTGGACCTATGTGACTCAGATCGCTGATCAGGGATTTCATACTCTCGTACCAGGTCTTAGCTTGACCACCCTTGTCTTTTCTCCACCCCATACCTGCCTCGGCAAACATCGCTCGCCGTAGTAACCTATCTGGTGATATTCGTAACACATGCTCCAACCAACGTAATCCACGGAGGTCGATCACTTGCTCCAGCGGGTAACAGCAGTTGCCCAAAACTCTGCGCCTAACCTCAGCATTGCTCGTCCGGCTGCCTCACCAGAGTCCTGCAATGCTGCATAGACAGCGTTGTTCAAACACCGACGGTCTAACCTTATCCGGCCTCCTTAATAGCCAAGTTTCTGGGCTGTATAGCACCACTGGCCGAACTGCTGCGGCCTGTACTCGACCCTTCACATATAGTCGTATGTCGCGACGGTGCCACAGATATCTCAATTTAGTAAATGACAACCAAGCCTTCTGTGCGCGAGCTGACACTTCATTCTTGATGCGTTCACCGGCTGGGCGCTGGTCCAACCCAGTCTTGTAGGTGCAAAATGCATACCGAACATGGCTACGCTGGTGCTCAAGCTATCCATAAATGCTTAAGATTTATCTGGACCTTCACTTAGCAGCACAGTATCGTCTGAATACTCTGAACCAGATAGTCTGCCACCTTGAGGTAAATCGATGCCGCTATTCTTGCACGATGATAGGGCTGTTTCCATAACCAAATATATAATAAAGTTTGATAGAACAGGAGAGAGAGAAAGACAGCAACTCTGAAGAACACTACTTTCGGTGATGAACTTTGGCAAACAAGTGCCGTAAACCCGGACTCGACTTTGGTTATTAGTATAAAGCAATCGTTATATTGAAATTGACTTCTCGGGCACACCTTTCAGGGAAAGACAGCACCAGATATAAGGGCGGTAAATTGAGTTGAAAGCCGCTTTCGGATCGAGAAAGAGAGAGGCCATGGGTCTACCAAAAGATTGTCGATGCTACAGAATTTGAAGGAGATTGAAGTCATCCAGTAAAGAAAAGGTTGATCATCAATATTAATCCGCGCACACAAGAACCAACCCTTCGTTAAAACAGTATAACCTTCACTTTTTTTGGTGCGATTATATCTTTCCAACCACTGTTCTGTGAAAACGGGGATCACACACCCTCGTTTATTCTCAAAGACCATCATAACACAGCTTTCCTTGTTTATCCTCATTGCATACGAAACTCTGCAAAACCATTTACATGAAAGAGACGGGACAATTGATTGATATGCTTTCATCACTCATTCATTTATCAAATCTCACCACACCCCAAGAGAGCAATACAGTTTCGGACGTCAGCGATCGCAGGAGATTAGCATCCGTCTCATAAAGTCTGAACTGTACGCACAACGAAAACTGATCCAAGCTCTCAAACTACGCTGGCCAAGAGAAAAGAAAATCACTGGTTCACTTGACCGTAACATCACGAGCGAATTCCGGTTACGTAATCCAAATAGAGTTGGCGATTTAGAGTTCTCTAGGACTTGTAATCGCGCAGACGACTCATCCACTTTTCTGCTTGACCCTACTAAAATTGTCGAAATAGTCCCACAGAGCACATTTCAAACAAAACAACAGAGTGGAGAACAAGCTCGTATAATTATTGACTTGTTCCTGTGGAACAACTTACATAGGCCGCACGGTCAGGCGATTGTCCTAACAGATTCGTGAACACCATTCCACGTGGCTGAACACCGGAACGATCAAGTCACTCACCAGTGCAGTGGTTTCACACTGTGGACGTGTCCGAGACTTTCTGACCCCTGTATAGTTCTTGGGCGATTATCGAGGCAGGTTTGCTGTCGGATGTTGGCTACGGAAGAAGCGGTGGGCATTCATCTGCACATGCCCCCTCTGTGCGCCCTAAAGCAATTTGTGCAAGAGCTAAAGCTTCCCTGGCCCACATCACACACCGCATCGCGAGTAATCTCGATGATCGGTTGAGTGGACAAACAAACATGTGATCGTGGTGAACCCGATTTCCGGTCTTACGATGATATGGTATCTAGTAATCTGTGATTTTGTTTCATTTTCTCATGAAAATTTTATTTCTACTGAAATCGCTCCATATAAATGTGATTGTTTAACGTCATACTTATCAAAGGCTGGAAAATGAACTCACCGAAAACATACATACGCCTACTCTTTGTGTTCCTAAGATTATTTATCCCATATTATTTTTTCATTCGATCCTTTAGTCTATCAGATACGCATTCGTGTCACATCATGTCATCCCAAAATTTGTCCGGTGAAATCGATTCACCAAAAGTTGCGTGGAATCGTGTTTGGTCAAGTTTTCAGGAACTTTGAATGTACTTAGATTGTAGTATGTGGTTTGTTTTATTTCATTATACACCAATGGTAACGGTGACGTAGATTCCTCTCCCCCACTGGGCACAGCAAAAGAGTTCGTGCATACGGCTTGCTGATTGCATGCTATGTAACAGAAAAAATATCTTTCAGCAATCATCCCTTTTATACAAGCATCTGAATAAAGTATCCACTTACAAGTCTGTTATAGTAATCCTAGAAAAGTACCGTTGTAGATTAGTAAACATATATTCACGTTCATGTCATTTGTTAGCATTGAAAATTTGGAGTTGCAAACTCCCGCATGAAACGCCTAATAAATATGAGTTCTGAATGAATAAACCAGCAAATCGATAGTAGTTTTTGGAACTGTAATGCAAATATGGGAATACTGTAATAAACTCGCGCGCAATTCAGTCACGCAAATCATATCCACCGAACGTTGCACTGATCGGGGAATGTTCTCAATCCTTTCTTTGATGGGAATAGTAGAATTATCCTATACTTTATTACAGTTTTCTGTTGGATCCGAAATCACCCCAAAGCTAAATTAGAATTGCCATCTGTTACGACATGAGTTGATAGCAAGTCAATTTTCCCGGTCGAACTGTACCCGGTTAACACGAATTGCATGAATTGAAACATCATCCAGGTGTACAATGGAAAACATACAGAATTTCAGTTACTGGTAAATTAATATCCCGGTAATAGTTGCCATTATCGTTCACAATGCGATGCGATCAAATTTGGCTCTCCGCGTGCCACAATTTGAACATGTGTGAAAATCGTTTCAAGCGGTTAAATAAGCATTAATTATTACGATATTGCTTTGGGAAACTGTCAATATCAAAATTAGATTTGTTGGTTGATTGAATAAGGGGTGCAAGAGG